TGGGTCAATTTTTGTTATTCGCAATACCAACAACTAGCCTAATTTTTTCAATCCTAGAAATCAGTGGAATACCTCTTCAAAGTCTATGCCTTCTCTTTGCAAGAACTCATTTTCAACTAATCAAGCCTTATGGTTGATTATTTCATCCTTGGGATTTACCTTAATTTTGAACACACGTCTCACACCAATTGGCTTCTTCCTATTTGGTAGATCAACCAACTCTCTAGTATTATTCTTCTCAGTAGATTCCATATCCTCATTCATAGCACAAATCTATGTTGGATAACTTAAAGCCTTTTCCATTTTAATATGTTTGGATTCAGCCATAAGTGCAAAATGGATTAAATCACCATCATCATTGACTTTGTTGTCTCGGAATAACTCACAATCTTAGAGTTTTTAAGTTAAACCTGTTTGCCTCGTTGATCTTCTCATATTATCTTCAATTCGGGCTTCGATAATAGGCGTTTCTGCATTTCCCAATTATGCAAAAACTGAATTTTCAAAGTTGTAACTGGTTACAATTTTTACGTAATCGGTTACAGGCTGCTGCAGTTGCTTTATCTCGTCAAAAATGACATCTTGGCTGATCACAACCCTCTTGTTTACTGCATTAAATTTCTTGTAATCACCAGTGGAGTGATACCTTACAAGTATCATCATTTCTCCCTTATCATCCAGATTCTTTCTAAGATGCCCCAGAACATATTGATACGCTACGAAACCAAAAAATCTCAAATGGTTCAGATCGGTTTGAATCCCAACCATGCTTCCTCTGGTTTTACCTTCTAATCTTATTTGTTGGACACATATTGAATAAATAAGCAGTTGCAAACACCGCTTCTACCCATAACTCTTTCGGTAAGTTCTTCCCCTTTAACATGTTTATTACCATGTTCATGATCGATTTATTCTTCCTTTTGGCAACACCATTTTGTTGTGGTTATAAGGTAGTATAACCTCATGTAATATCCCTTATTAATCATAGAACCTCTCAAATTCTTTTGAGACATATTCTCCTCCATCATCCATTTTGAGCACTTTGAGCCTGTGACTGCTTTGCCTCTCAACCATGGACTTAAAATTCTTAAACACTTCAAATACCTTACTTTCTTTTGATTAGGTGTGTCCGTAGTTTTCGACTATGAGGATCGATAAGTGTGATAAAATATTTATTACCACCAATGGAATTTACTTGTATGGGTTCACACACATTCGAATATACCACCTCAAGGTGACTCTTGGTTCTGCAACCTGCATCCTTACTAAATTTATCCTTATGTTGCTTCACTTGCACACATTCTTCAGAAACTTCATCTGGTTTGTTGATCAATGACAACTTTGTTACCATTTTGTTCTTTTACAAGTCTTTGAGATCTTGGAAATTGAGATGCCCAAGACGATAGTGCCATATCCACTCATCTCAACTTCTCATTGTGGCAAGACATTTATGCTCCATAACCTTTAGTTTAACTTGAAGATTCTATTGGCATTCATAGGAGCTTTAAGGACCAAAATTGAGTTTTCATCCATAACGTGCAACCCCTTGTTTTCTATGTTAATCTTGTAACTCTTCTCAAGAAATTGACCAATACTTAGAAGGTTACATTTAATTTTTAGAATGTACAACACATCTTTGATCAAGTAATTTCCACTATCCACTCTTGTGATCAAAATATCATTCATCCCATCGGCCACTAGAGTGGTGTCATCCGTGAACTTCACTATGTTCTTTATGGAACGATTGATTTTAACAAATCAATCATTCCTCCTCGTCATATGAGTAGAACAACTAGAGTCTAAATATCATTCCTTGTTGCACTGAACTGCACCTTTCATACTCATCATGACATTTTCTTCTGCTTGTAACCAATTACAGCGTTTACATAACCGGTTATAACATGTTTCTACAACATTTTTAAAATTGTCGATGCTTTTGTCCCGCAACCTATTGTTGATGCATTCATCTTATGTTATCTTGACCAATAATGTATTCTCATCATCAAACTCTTGTCTTACACCATTGGTTTCATCTCCTTGAGATTTCTTCTTGTTCGCATTGCACTCTCTTGCAAAATGACTAAACCTTTGACACTTAAAGAACTGCTCCTTGCATTTGTCAAACATCTTCCTTTCACCTCTAAAGTTGCCTTGACCACTATTTTTGTTGCAGCTACTCTCACCTCTTTGAGAAGTCAAATTCTTGGAACTTATGGATTCTTTTCCACCAAAATTATGAAAATGACAGTTACTCTTCATAGGCCATTTTTCTTTCGATCTTTTGTCCTTCTCGTTGAAGTGAGCTTTGAAAGTGATCTCCGCCTTTGCATTTCCTCTTTACTCATCGTGCAATGTCCTTCGATTCCTCAATTGCTACAACCACATTGTCAAATCTTGGCGTTAAAGAACGCAAGATTCTCGTGACAGCAGACTGCTCTGTGAGTGTTTCTCCACATGTCTTCACTTGCTTCACTAATCAAGTGGTTCTTGTTATGAAATCGTTCATCCTCTTTTTTTCCTCCATTTGAATCAATTCAAGTTTACTCTTGTGATTTTGTAACCTCACCACCTTCACATTGTCAGCCCCTGCATATGTCTTCTCTAAGATTTTCCACACTTGATTCGATGATTTGCAATCACCAACTTTCTCAAAGTTGTCACCATCCACATACTGATTAATCAAAAACAACGCCTTGAAATCTTTCTTCTTCTCTTCCTTATGTGTTTCTTGTTGTGCATCCATTGCACCTTGGATAAGAAGAATCACCCCGTTAATTACTTCAAAAATATTTTAGTAGCCAAACAACACTTTCATTTATTAGCACTATTTATCATAATTTTTCGTATCAAGGATGAGTAAATTTAAAGGAATTCTTTTATTAGATTTAACATAGGCAATAATTTTCTTTTCTATAAACAAACCATTAATTTATAGAGATGATTTGCTGATTGTGAAACCTTTGCATAAGTCATTATAAAATTAATTACATCATCTTGTGTAATATCTCTTCTATTCATTTGATAAAATAACATATACGGACTAATTTATATTTATGACCTTTAAAAGAATGTGAAAATTTTTAATCAATTAGACCTAACATGCATCATCTAAATAGACATGACTGTGATAATGTATTTCTCTATTATAATTAAATATGTCTCATCAAATTTCAGACTTTTTTTTAGGTTGCTATCAACATAATGTTTACAGAAAGCTTCTCCTAGTAACACAAATGTGGATGTTTGACTCTTCAAACCCAAAGCTTTCAAATTTTGGACACTCATTTTTCCATTCAAATAATGAACGAAGAAAAAAAAACCCAAACATTAAAGAAGGAAAAAGGATATATATGGGTTGCATTGATAATTTGTAGTTATAAATTACCATTTTTCATTAAAGTAATGAATACTCACTACCTACACCACCTTTTAACGTGTAACATTTAAACCCCAATACATTAGTAATAGATTAATAGACTGAATTTTTGTAAAATTTCAGGTGTTATTACTGTAAAATCAACAAACTATCCTATTCTTATAAATAAAAAGTTAATTAAGAATAAAAAATAAAGTTGAATTTTGTTAAACTTGATTTTGAATTAAATCATATTTTAATCTTATTAAGAAGTCAAATTTCTTATAGTAATTTTCACTAAAATTTATCATTCTTTTTAATACATAGAAAATGTGTGATATTGTTCCGTTAAGTCAGTTCAGTTGATAGTTCTGCAAAGACATTATATGTAAGTAGTGTGGTTTTGATTATGCGACATTCCACTTATTCATCTTTAAAGAGTGAATTCTAACCATTAAACTATTTGACCAAAAAATATGTGACACCTCATTTCTATCTTTTTTAGTCAATTTTTTTCTCAAATTTATTTTCTTTCAATTATTCCAATTACTAATTAAATTTCCGTGGTTCTTACCCTATCTTATCACATTAAAATCACAATTTTCATAACTCAATTCAAGAAGAAAAAAAATAGTTGAACCCGCAACGTAGTAAATCATCTAATCATTAAACAATGTTTAATCAAATTTTATCACGAACATTAATATTTTAGAAAAAATGGTCGGAAAGTGTAGTTCAATTTTTAACGTCTCAATGAATACTCTCATTTAGATCTCTATTTTAAACTACTTGACAACTATCCCTTTATGAATGTACTTCAATTTTCTGATAGAATCGTCTCCCTTTGGAATTCTTACGGTTTTTCTTGCCATAAAAGCTACCGTACCTTGTCACTTTCTTAGCCTTGGTCCTACATCTCTTGGCATATCCCTTAAAGATAAAGATTTAGAGCTTATTGTTTTTTTTATCACTGGTGTTTTGATATGGAGTTTGAGGTTGCTTAAACATAAATTTCAGAGCTTGTGGAGGAAATCATCAGAACTTATTTAAATATCAAGTAAAGTTTCAGAGCTTGTGGAGGAAATCATCAGAACTTATTTAAATATCAAGTAAAATAATAATATTGTATGTTGAGGTATGTATCACTTATTTTTATCACTATTAGAATAAAGTTTAATTTTATTGCTTAAAAATTGTTTAAATACTATGAGGTAGTTTGATCACAAATAATAAGTTAAACAATCATTGAAGGAGATACTCTTTAAAATTGATGGTAACTTCTATGGTCCTAATACTTTTATGTATATATGATAGCAATATTCTTTTAACATATGCAACAAATAATGCAATTTTGGTGTGCTAGAAAGAAGTTAATTATGCCAAATACTTTCTTCAGTATGAAAATCTAATCAAACAAACATCTTATGCAGTCATATTTTACAAGTTGGATAAAATAAACAAATGTTAACATAGTTACATTGAAACCATTGTTAATATAGCTAGAACAAATGATCTTCTTCATAGTTGAAAATGAAACTGATCAATTGAAGAAGGCAATGGATTGTATATACACTCTTCACAAGAACAATATACCAGATACAAATCATTCAAAAACCTCACACCAATAACAACAATAAGAACTAATCTATTGATGTAAATTTTGGAACCCTCTTGAACCTCTGGACTGGTAAAGCTCAAGCCTACTCTTGGACTCTTGCAACAACATCGCAACAGTTTCATCTTGAGTCACGTTAAGTTGCTTGGATGCCCATTCAAGAACTCCAAGAACCTCAACCCGAGCAAGTTCTTCGCTGTCTGGCACGTGCAATGCGATATAGGATAGCAGAACCAAGGCTGAATATTGAACCGGCTGCTCCCCGAGATACACAAGCTGAACCAAGTGTTTTGCACCGCCGGAGCTTATAATTGCCTTAGAGTGATCAAGGTGGAGGTAGTTGTCAATGCAGGCAAATTTCGTGAGTGAGTCTGCAGCTTCTTTGGATACTTCAGCCTCCCTTTCGTCAAGAAGTCGAACCAACGGCCCAATTATCCTTGTCTCAGTTGCCCTGAATGTCCTAGCCAAACTTCCAATTGCCTTAATACAAGGAATCAGAAGTCTCTTATCTTCTTTGTCGATAATATCGATCACTTGATCAACAACTGCTTTACAGGCAGGAGAATTCGGCTTAAATGCCATTCTTCTCAACTCGGGATCTTTCTCAGCCACTGCAGTAATCTCTTTCAATGCCAAGGCAGAATGGTACTTCACTTCTTCCGGTCCTTTTTCAAGGAGAATAGCAAAACATAACAAAGCCCTTGATTCTGTTATGCTACGACAAATCCCCGAGTTATCCTTTGCTAGAACCATAAGAGCTTTTGCAGCCATTGCTTTCATCTCAGCCTTACTCTCAGCATCCTCAAGTTCCCTTCCCTTCATGCTAATTCCAGAATAAGAATAGCTTTGCTTCGTATTACCATTCCCACTCCCATTTGAATGACTAGCCACCTGCGAATTCACTTCATTTCCTACACTGGTTTGTTGATTCTTGTTGTTGTTCGCACTTGCCGCATGCATTGCCATAGTACTTGCCACCACTTTATGCATCTGATTTGTAGACCTATCCCCTAAAGGATGCTGCATCCGAATTTTCACCTCATCTTCAGTCTCTTTTTTCACATCATTAGAACCAGAGTTATCACCATTATTACTATTACTATTACTATTACCACTAGCCAACACAACAGCATGAATCGAATTCGGCTTATTACTAACAATAGCGTATTTACTATGCTCCTGAACAGTTTCAAATGCAATATGACTAACAAGTAACCTAACAATATTATGCTGTGCAAAAACATCTTGACATTTAGGATTCTTTGAAACAAGTTCAGAAACAGCCCAAGCTACAACAGCTTGAACTTTCATAGGACCTTCTTTAAGAATCTTCGCAAAAACCGAACAAACACCAGCATGAATCATAACATCAACGCTTTCCGCGTCTCGGCCCAAAAGCCCAATAGCTTTAGCAGCATTTTCTTGCCCTTCCTTTTTACCTTCTTTAATAAGTTTCAACAAAGGACCAACACCACCTTCTTCAATTATCAATTTCCCGTTCCTATCGTTATCGCGAACAAGCGAAACCAAAGAAGCAGCAGCATCAGATCGATCATCAACAGAACCATTATGAAGAATCGCAATCTGTTCCCAAATTAGACCTAGAATCGGTTCATTAGAAGCGATAGGCGGAAGACCTAGACACTCGTATCCACCTTCCTCAGTCGGAGCGGAGACACGGAGGAGCCAGGAGACATCGCCGATTGAATTTTCGAGATGAGAAGACATTTTGCGGAAAGCGGCGGAGGGTACTATGCTGAAAACACGCTTCATGAGACCGTTGACTTTGCATTTGAGGACTAACGCGAGTGCTTTTTCGAGGACTTGTTCGGTGTCGCCGATGATGCGACGGGTCGGTCGTTCGTATAAATCGGAGCTTGATCTCGCGGCTTGCCGGAGAAGTGAAGCGAGTTTTTCGGTTTTGGATTTGAGTTCTAAGCATTCTTGTTTGAAGGATGAGCTACCTTCTTCGGCTGCTTTGCTTACTTGGTCAGCTAGTTGGATCGGTTTTGCTAAGAGTTGTTTTACTAAATCGGCCATTATGTTGGTGATGGTGTTAAAAGTGGGGTTGGATCTGAAATATAGGGGTGTAGGGTTTGGAAAGAGTTGTTATAGATGGAAAATGGCAGGTGGTTTGAAGATGACAAGCGTGTGGGAATTATTGGAGGAATTGCACTGGTCAAGTTGTGTGTGGGTTTAGGACTTTAGGTTCGATGATGGAGTTTGTGTTGTAGTGAGTTGTTGTTTTTGTTGTGGGTGGGAGTGACTGGTAAGCATTATTTCTGAGAACTCAGACAGGGAAAGGTATGAGACTTGAGTTGAGCTGTTGAAGGGATTTGGAAAGACCACTATGACTCGGTAGTCTCTCAAATTTCGAATATAAATAAATAAATGGTTCGTGTTAACTTTTAATAAAAATTCTCTCAAAAATAACTTTTTATTAAATATACAAACTTTTATTTTTGGTTGAACCAGAAATTGGAGCTCTTACTACTGTAGTTGGACCTGGACATTTAAAAGAATCGAGATTTAAATTGAAAAACTGATGAAAAATTATAAAATCAACTATTTAAGCAATTTTTAAGATCGGATTGAATTTTAATTTTCATTTATAAAAATATTAATGTTTATACCGGCACTCGCATGTCCGTCTGTCTACTTTTTGTAATATGCATGAATAAAAATATACAATATATAAAAATTAATAATAAAAATTATTAAATAAATTATATAATAAAATAAGATAAAAATAATAAAAAAAATAAGTTACAATATATTGTATAGATTATGAAAAGTATCGTTAATTTCCGTTTTTATTTTCCGCTCTCTTTAGTACACATTACACGAGAAAAATTAAGATAAAAGTTATTTTCAATTTATTTGTTATTCTCTATTCATTTAACTAATGGAAGTGGATTTTCCATAATAAACAATATAATAAAATACATTGCAACGCATAACATAGGTCATTAGGATATTAATTTATTATTATTATTATTGAGTTTATTAGTGCCGAACTTCTTTAATTTTATTTTAGATTTTATTTTACTTTCTTATTTAATAAATGTTATATTTTAATTTTTTTAAAATTATTTTGTTAGTCATTTTTATTAAATTTATAAAAACGTTAAGTTATACATATATGTTACGACAACATGGCAAAAATTAAAATATTGAGTCAGCAATTTAATAAAGGAACTATTGAAACTTATAAATAGTTTAAAAAAAAATTGAAACTTTTTTTAAATCAACAAAATCTTGAATATAATAGCATTAAACATAATCATTTTACATTACTTATTCAAATAAAGGCATTAAACCAAAATCAAGGGGTGTTGTTGGAAACGCATTGTACACCTCGACTACAACAATCAATTTTTTCAGGGGTGCTTCGGAGACGTTTTCCATGTCTGAATACAATATTCAAATACCCATTGTCAACTACATGGAGCCCGTTGTGGTCAATATGGTCGAAATCTCCGAGAATTTTGACATGAAAGAATTTGAAACTAAAAACCAGATCGAAGTCGTGTTCCTAAAAGCCGGTGAAAATGTTATTAAATTTCTTTATTGGTGTCAAACACATGACTCTGAAGTGATGTTATGCCCTAGACGCAGTGCTTTGTTCCATAAAAAAGCTTCAAAGCAAGTCGAAGATGCTCAAAAGGCCAAACACAACGAGAGGGTCCGACCTCAGTACCACTTTAGCAAGTGCACCCCAGAGGAAGCATCGAGCAAGTGGGTCACAGAAGGCAAAGCCAAACACCTATAAGCCTTCAGCCGACACCCCCCCCCCCCCCCCCCCGGGGAAGTGGTTGAAGCTTGTTGAAAGAGAACGCAACAGAAACCCAGAGTGGAGAAACTTTGAAATGGGTCGAGGGTCCTCCATGACATAAAAGGAAAACTTCCAGATGTCTGAAAGACGTTCCTATGGACCTAGCACAAACTATAAGGGGAAGAATACCATGCCTAGGACCCAATGGGGTAGGTTTCAGAGGAAAAAGAAGGCAGAAAGGGATGTTGCTTAGTCGAGTAATATCAGACCACAACAAAAGTCTGAGGACGGTCAGTCAAAGAAACCAGTTGGAAGGAAATTGTTTCCCTCCAGAAAGATTAGCAGTGAAGAGCAAGCCAATGAAGACGAGTTGGTAACAGATAATTTCGATTTTGGGTCAGAAGGTGATTTTGATGACCTATGTAATGTGGTCTCTGTATTGCCTTATGAGTACGAAAACGTAACTTAGGTCGCTGAAGAGAAAGACTATGAGGAAGAAGAACTGGAAAAACACAAGACAACCTGTTACTTCGTTATAAACAATGGGTGCATCGAAGAGCAAAATTCTTTCTTTGAGCGACCCCACGAAAGGATGAAGAACCACTTGAAGCCTTTTTTCATAAGAGTTAAGGTCGAAGATGTAACAGACCAATTTTCAATAATTAATTATTCACATTAAATAATTTATTTATTTGAGTTATTTAATTATTGGATTATTATTTAATGAAATTGGTAGATATTTGAGAATATGATGATGGAAATAGAGTGGAAAGACATATAAGAAAATTGGAAAAGAAAAGAGAAAGATAGAAACATAAGAGGAAAGAAGAGAAAGAAAGTGGAAGAGGAGAAAAAGAGAAGAAAAGAGGAAAAGTTTGGATTCATCAAGAACAACTTTTGGCTATCGATTTCATCAAGGTAAGGGTGTGAAATATCATCATCTTGTTAATGTATATGATTGTGTATGGATTGTATGAGTTGTTTGGATGTTTTCTCCATTTTTCCATTTTAGGTCGAAATGAGTTTAATCGGTAGAAACTGAGTTTTATCGGTTAGAATCTGGAAGGGATGATGTAGATTAGTCGAGATATGTTAGGTTAAGCCTACTGTAACGAGTTTGGTTGGAATCGGGTGAATCGGGAGCTCCAGATGAATTCTGGACAGGTTGGAGTTTGGTGTTCGCAGACACTCGCTAGCTTGTTCGCTAGGCGAGCAAGTCACGAACATTCGCTAGGTCCTCGCCTAGCGAGCCTGTGGCGAACGGTCCCAGACTTGGGACAAAATGGATTTTGGACTTCCTCGCTGGTAGCGAGCAAGGTAGCGAGTTGCTCTCTAGGGCCTCGCTGTGGCGAACTGGTAGTGAAGCCTTCCAGTGGCTTCTGTTTGTGTTCGCTAGCTTGTTCGCTAGGCGAACAGGTAGCGAATGTTCGCTAGGTACTCGCTAGGCGAGCCAGTAGCGAACGTGATAGCATTTTGTTTTTCTTGTGGTTCCATCCAATGTTGATTGTGTGGTTCGGTTGTATTCAATCCTTGTTGTGATGTGCTGTAGGTAGCCGTATGGCGTGAATCCTAGATGGTGAGATGAATTATGAATTGTGGTCGTTTGGCGATTAGGTTGCATTATTTGAATTGATTAAATGCACGAGGAATATGATTGAATTCGTTGCCATTGGTGCAATATTGTGAATGCATGGGAACATATTGCGAATATGTGTGCATTGTGTGATAGATGTGAGGTCGGTGAGGTACGCATTAGGGTAGAATGATGAGATATCATTCCTAGTGGCGAGATCATTAGGGTAGAATGACTAGATGTTGTTCCTAATGAGGCGTAATTATTGGTGCACTAGGGTATAATGGCTAATGATGTCATTCCTAGTGTGGAACTCACTGGGGTAGAATGATGTGATATTGTTCCTAGTGAGAAGCTCATTGGGGTAGAATGACTTGATGTCGTTCCTAATGAGATATGAGTGCTTGGATGCATTGGGGTAGAATGACTTGATGTTGTTCCTAATGCAGTACAAGTGTTGGTGCGCACTGGGGTAGAATGACTAACGATGTCATTCCTAGTGTGAGACTCATTGGGGTAGAATGACTTGATGTCGTTCCTAATGAGGTATGAATGTGAAACTCACTGGGGTAGAATGATTTGATATCGTTCCTAGTGGAGTAGTTACTGGGGTAGAATGACTATGTGTCGTTCCTAGTAACGTAAACACCGGGGTAGAATAACCGAGAGGTTGTTCCTGGTGGGGTACGAGCGATGTACCATAGTCTCGAATAGAGAATTATGAGAGTGACGAGTTGTATAAACCACATGGTGTGGAAGTGATTCGTGATAGGAGAGAACGGTTGTGTATGAATGATTGAGTCGAGAATTATGGATGTGTACATGATGAAACATGTTTGGTGATTATTCATTATTGGTTTATGCATATATTTTGATGCATATGATGATTGTGATGAGGAGTGGTGAGAATGTGAAATATATGTATTATTATGTTTACGAATATATATATATATATATATATATATATATATATATATATATATATATATATATATGATTATATGCATTGATTATTATGGTAATATTTCTCACCCTTCTGTTGTTTTATAATGCTTTATGAGGCATTGCAGATTAGGATGGCTGGAGATCCTTTTTGTGAAGTATAGTTTCATTCTTTTGGTTGGTTCGCTCTGATATGTAGCACCGGGTAGTTAGGCTTGTATAGCATTCTTTTGGGATACATTGTGTATATGTATCTGTTGGCAGATGTTTTGTAACATGATGATATTGTGAATCAAACTTGGTGATATGTAAATTATATGATTACATGTTTAAATGATTCAATGTTTATATTTTCCACTTTTAATTCTAAATATTGAAATGTGGGTGTAAGGACGAAGTTCCTCTGTTAATAGCTACCCTATTGTTGCATGTCTTTTATAGAGCAGGTGTTGTATGTTTTGGTGTATGATGTGACATGTCTCTTTTATACCATGTTTTAAACGTTACTCTGATCAAATTTTGAATATGTGCTTAATTATTTTATTGTTTATTTGGGGGTATAGAAGGGGGTGTTACATTAGTGGTATCAGAGCAGGTCGGTCATGTTGACCAAGTTGTTTATGTGTGTTCATTCCCTTATGCATTTGATAGGTGTGTGTAGCACTATCAATATGGTTGTTCTAACGAGAATTTGTTGTGGAAATCAAGAACAATGGTTGCAGGGAGGAATGACGAAGCGATTGTTGAGGC